AACCCAGTGCTTCCCGGATCCCAGTGCCCCCCAGATCCCAGTGCCCCCGGAACCCAGTGCCCCTGAAGCCCAGTGCTTCCCCGAACCTAGTGCCTCCCGGAACCCAGTGCCCCCCGAATCCTAGTGCCTCCCGGATCCCAGTGCTCCCAGATCCCAGTGCCTCCCAGAACCCAGTGCCTCCCGGAACCCAGAAGGGCCCTGTTCCCAGCCTGGGGAGACTGCACCGGAGCAAGGGGGCTGAGACCCCCTCTCCTGTGCTACTCATTCCCCTGCGGTTCTCCAGGTTCTGAGGGGAGCAGAGAGCGCCCCAGGCTGGGGTGGAGGATAGGGGTCCTGACCCGGGTGACAGGAGCAGAGGCAACGTCCCAGAGGCCAATTCCCCAAATGCAGGGCGCACTGCAGGCCCCAGGGCACAGGTGCGCAGAAGGGGGCCTTTGGGGGCTGGGCCTGGGGTGGGCCTGACACCGCCACATCCAACCCACAAAGCCGGACGATGCAAGCTGCACTGCTGGCTTGAGAGGCCCCAGGCCCTCCTGCCAAGCCCACTCCTGCCGCTTTTTAGGGCTCGCTGCGACTTCTCTGCTTTAGGCCTTAAACATAAGCACAGTGAACCGTAGATTCTGAACGTGCACTGGGCGAGGCCTCTCTCATTAGGCTCTGTAACCCTCATGACGACGGCATCTTAGGCTCAGATCTGTGCCCCTGACTACAACAGGTGCCGGGAGGACAGGACCTGGCCTGTCCAGTTCATCACCACGTCCACAGCTTCTGCGCACAGTAGGCACTCAGCACCAAACAGAGCAAATACATTTGTGCAATAGAAAACTCGGGACCCACCACTCACAAGCAGGAGCCCTGAAGGGGGGCGGCCATGTGAGTGGGGTCGGGGGGACCCCAGGCTCTCTGGAGCACTGTGTTCATTTCACTCCTCCCACAATGACGCAGGGAGCACCTGCCACCTGCCAGGTGCTACTTCAGATAGCAGTAAACAAAAAGACAAGTTTTGCCCATCACAGACCTTGTAACCTCTCACCAGCAGGAAGTAAGTGCTAATCAACAAATGCTTAAGTGGCTACACCTAACGTAAGTGTTGCTGAAAAAATAACTCAGGAGAGGAGGATTGGAGGCGCTGGTGCGGGGCGGGAGCTGCTACTCTGGGTGGAGAGAAGGAAGTGATGTGGGCAAGAGGGAGCAGGGGTGGAGATGTGAGGAAGACACTCCAGGGAGCGGGTGCAGCATGTGCAAAAGTCCTGAGGTTGCGGTGTGCCCGGTCTGTTCCAGGAGCAGCAGGGAAATGAAGAGCAAAGGAGGCAGGAAGCGACTGGACTCACATTTTACAGTGGTCGCCCCCCCACCTGCCGCTCGTGTGTGAAGTTGGGAGTCGGGGGGGTGACTGCAATACACGAGGCTCGGCTGCCTGCCGCAGGGCTCAGTCCTGAGGGTCACCGTGGAAAGATGAGAGGTTTTGAAGGTAGAGACCAGAAGGTGGATTGGGGAGCGTGGGAAAAAAGAGAGGCCTCCAGGCTGCCTACAGGGGAGCCTGCAGGGGGCTGGGGCTGGGGCGCGTTCGGTGAGTGGCAGGCTGGAAGCCATCAGCTGGGTGTGGGCAGTGACCTCAGTCATGCGACAAGATGAGATCACGCAGGGAGCGCGTGTGGAAAACAAGAGGGGAGTTCCAAGGACAGCGGCTCAGAAGTACGGGGCCACGTGGTGTCGCCAAGCACAGGCAGCACCAGCTCAGACCAAGGCATTGAATGGAACCCTGGGCAAATCGCCACCCTTCCTGCTGCACCTCCGCTTCCCTGGCTGCCCAATGGGACGGTGGCCATGCTTGCCTTGACAGGTGTTTGCAAGAGTGAGCTTAGTGTGATGCCTGGTGCACAGGATGTGGGGCCCGGGAGACCCCTCCCCAGGTTCTGAGGCCACATCCCAGGCGGTAGGAGCTGACTAGACTCAGACCGTGGGGACCCTGCTCTGTCCCACTCTGACCTCACCCAGACCAGCCGACTCACATCCTAGTCCCTCGAGACTGTGGGAGCTAAACAGACAAACCACAAAAGAAGGGAGTCCCAGAGTGAGGACGGGGGTCTGGACAGTTCTCTTCTAGATCCGCTGATGTCAACAGGAAGTCTCCCGTGGATGCAACCGAGTCCTTGCCGTCCCCTACACCCCGCCCAGAGCAAGCAGACCAGGCTCCGGCACTGCGGCCACCCGGAGCGGCACTGCGGCTGCGCTGTCTCCACCTGCACTGAAGCCAGTTTGTAGTGGCCTTTGTGCCAAGGACACGGATTTCCCAGTGACAGGATTTTTCACGAAGGCTAAGCGTGGGGATCTTCAACGAGTCCGTGGAAGCTGTGTATTATGAGAAACTGTGCACAGATTCCAAAATGCGTCGTGTGGGAGGGCATTGGGCACAGCAGCTGCCATCACCGCTTGAGACGCCTGCATCCCACATGGGCGGAGTGCGGGACTCGAGTCCTGGCTCTCCGCTTCCAACACAGCTCCCTGCTAATGTGAACCCCGGGAGGCAGCAAGTCTTAGCTCAAGAATGTCAGTCCCCGCCACCCACAAGGGAGACCTGGACTGAGTTCTGGGCTTCCGGTCTTGGCCCAGCCTGGCCCTGGCTGTTGCAGGCATATGGGCAGTGACCCAGAGGATGGAAGATCTCTGTCTCTCTTTCAAATAAAATGAAAATAATTTTTTTAAAAAGGTGAAATGTTTCTGGGGGGCTCGTATGTGGCAGAGCGGTTTAATCCACCGCCTGTGATGCCGGCGTCCCACCTTGGAGGACAGCTCCGAGTCCCGGCCGCTCCACTGCCCATCCAGCTCCCTGCTAACTGAGGCTGGGTACGTGGTGGCCTCTGATTGCGGGACGGACACACCTGCCACCATGTGAGGGACTCAGATGGAGCTCTTGCCTCCTGGCCTTGGCCTGGCCCAGCCCCAGCCTTTGAGGCCATTTGGGGGTTGACTGAATCAGTAGATGAAGTTCTCCTTCCCTCTCTACCTGTCCTTCTCCATCACTGCCTTTTAAATAAATAAAATGTTTTTGCACCAAAACAACTTATCTTTAAATCACATGTTCCAGTAACTTTGGAAGTGCCTCCATACATCTGAGGGATGCATGGGCCTGGGGTGGGAGAGGTGGTACAGCAGGCATCCCCAGGGGTTCCAGACGACGTGAAGTCTCTTACAAGTCCCCCAGAGAGTGTGCAGACAGCCAGGGCAGCCATCCCACCCCTAGAGAAGCAAGTCAGGGACACAGCCACCCCCTGAGACTCCAGAATGTCTGGGGTGGGGGGAGCACAGACCGGGCAGAAGAGCCACCCGCACCCTCCTCGTTGGGGAACAGGTGCAGCTCTGGGCCTCCAGCCGGGCTGCCACTCTGAGGGGCTGCGAGAGGGCCATGAGCCTTTTTCCCCTCGGTCACCAGTCACCCCTTAGCCCCCAAGAGCCTTCCCCACTCAAACGAGCCTGGAGAGCCCAGCTGGGACCTTCCCCATGGCCTGTGACCCAAGCCTGCGGGGCCCAGTTGCCGTCTGTCCACACCCCCAGCCCTCGGGGTGGACAACAGGACACAAGCCCAGCTCGGCCTGGTGGCAAGGGCAGCCACTCCTCTTACAGACACACCAAGGCCTTGGGCCAAGAGCACCCGCCCATTCACGAGTAAGCACCAGGTACCTACTGCGCACAGTGGACATCAAAACTGGCCTGGATACACGCAGCCTTCCTAGAGTTTACGGTCAAGTCGGGGAGACAGAATGAACAAGGCAACAAATCAGATGGAGGGGCCGGCGCTGTGGCGCAGTGGGTTAAGCCTATGATGCCAGTATGCCTGTGGGCGCCAGTTTGAGTCCTGGCTGCTCCACCTCCAATCCAGCTTCTTGCTAATGCTCCTGGGAAAGCAGCAGAAGATGGCCCAGATGCCTAGGTCCCTGCACCCATGTGGGAGACCCAGAAGAAGCTCCTGGCTCCTGGCTTCAGCCTGGCCCAGCCCCAGCTATTGCTGCCATTTGGGGAATGAACCAGCAGATGAAAGATCTCTCTCTTTGCCTCTCCCTCTCTGTCTGTAACTCTGCCTTTCAGATAAACAAATAAAATCTTTTTAAAAACAAATTAGATGAAGAACAACAGGGAAGAGGGTACGCAGGGGTCTGCAGTGCTCAGGGACAGCCTCTGGGAAGAGGTGAGCCGGGAAGGAGTCAGGTGCTGCCCTGGGGCACAGCGCACCAGGCAGAGAGGAGAGCAGGTGCAAAGACCCCGGCACAGAAGCAAGCCGTGTGCCTTCCGGGAACTGTCTTAAGGGCCACGGGAAGAGGGAAGAGAAGAGAGATGAAGTGGAGGAGGTTGGAGGGCTGGACCCCACACAGGCCTGCTGCTCATCTCCAACCCCTGAAGGGTCTGAAGCTGGAACAACACAAACCCCACCACCACCACTTTTTCTTTTTTTCATAATTGCTCTGGCTCCCGTTCAGAAATCAGAGAGCAGTGGATCTGAAGCGGAAGCAGGGAGCCAGCAGAAGTCTATGCAAGACTCCCAGGTACGAAATGCACATGGCTTGAATGAGGAGGTGGTAGTGGGGACAGCACCCACTTAGGCGGCGGCACCAGCAGGCCTGGCTAATGAGCAGCACCGGCGTGAGGGAGAAAACTCAGCTGGGGTCCACGTCTCGGGAGCTCCTGCCAGTGCCATTGACCGTGAGGGGGATGCTAGGCGAGGAGCACACGGGGGAGAAGCCCGCTCTAAATTCCGCTGCACCTGTTTATGCTGGAGAAGCCGGGCCACCCCCACCCCGCCCTGATGGAGCTGTCCTGTGGGCAGAGAGGCAGTGAGTCAGGGTTTCAGTAGGGCGGGGCAGTGCCAGACACGACCAGAGTTTATTAAGTAGGGGATGCCCAGGGGGTCGCCGGGCCAGAGTTTATTAAGTAGGGGATGCCCAGGGGGTCGCCGGGCGGCTGGCTGCTCATTCCTGTCCCGCCCACAAGCCCTCCCCGGGTACCTGCAGTGTCTCCAAGGCTTGGCCCGCGGTGCCGGTGGTGAGGCAGGCCACCTGCAGGGCCTGCCTGCGGGCAGCCAGCAGGATCCTGCAGTAGGTGAAGCAGATGGCACCAGAGGGCAGGAAGAAGGTGAGGCCCGACGCCACGAGGACACAG